GTAGTTAAATCTGGCAAATAATTTTGCACTGTTTTAACAAAATGGAAGACCTCTTTTTTTGGTGCACAAAGAAAAGAAACCATGATAAATCAGCCCATGAAAATGAAATATCCCAGTGCTGACACAGGAGCTGATCCTGAGTTTATTAGGCAAGCTATAGAAAAAGCATAAGAGTGAGTTTTATGGTAAAATTAGACCACTTTCTCTCAGAACAGCTTAAGTAGTAGTGTCTTTGTTATGCAGTATGCACAGCCTATGTGTTTTGTGCTTATCTTCAGGAAATTCAAACGTATATTCTGAGCGGTCATCAAAATTTGCTAAAAGGAACTGTGAAGCACAATTAGCTAGGATAATTTAAAATGGTTCATTGAGACTGATAAAAAAAATAGACAGAGGAGGCAGCTTGAGAATGTTGGTGATCGTTTTTTTGACCATTGTATTTCACGAGGGTTATGTGTATTTTACATTTCACTGAAACGTATACTCTTTTCTTACATGTAAGTTTTGTCCGACCAGAAAAAGAGGAATTTGTCTATTTGTCTGGAATTTCTAAATGCTTGGCATCCTGGAAGTCCTGATGACGTTGCTGCTGTACACAGATTGACTGTCCAGTGCATACACAAGACCTCCAGCATGATCACAACATAAGAATGGATGTGCATGTGTTAGTTGTTGTATCTACTCCGGATTTTCCTATGCATGCTGTTCTTCCTGGTGTGAATGCCTCCGTACGTCTGTAACTTTATAACTGTGTCTGTTTTCAAAAGGCAATGTATGTAGGAGAAACATGATACTTATTTCCTTTCTAAGAATAATTTTATCTTGTCTACCGCCGCACTATTCGGAAGGAGAAAATACAAGCAAAGAAGCATGGTTGCACAGATAAGGCATAAGACTAAAGATCAGGCGTGCGTAGGTCATGTGTTTCAGCCAGTGACTCAATTCCCCATATGTAAAGAGGTGATAATCCTCCTACCATACCATTAATTCACAAATTAACCCAAGTACGTACAAATCTATAGCAATAGTGCGTGTGCCACAAAGCAGGTACGCATTGATTTCCTAAGAGGTGCCTAAGGAAGACTACCTGACTACTTTGACAGCCTAAAAGCTGCAGTCTAAGGAAATATTTTGCCAGACCTCTCCCCTTTTTCCAAACAACAGCACTGTGATCCAGCGTATTGGAAGTTCATCTAACCTGAGGGGACTGAAACAGCTGGTAAGTGTCTACATACAACCCGTTTGCTGACCTTCCATTTATTAAATATCATGAAGGAACACGCAGTGCCTAGTACCAAAACAACCCGATCTTTGGAATTCTTTGCACCTGCTCACAATCCCTCATTACTAACATCCTGCTCTAAGTTTGGCCTCCAACATAGATGGCCGTATGAGATGCACTGGGCTTTATAGAGAAATTATCTTCAGATACAGAAATACGTTGTGAAGTGAGACATCCTATTCAGGCATGAACGTTCTTCACTCTCTAAATATATACAGTTATCCCAACTGTTATACACCCTGCTGTGTCCATGGAAAAATTGGATCAAGAAGGAAATAAAAGTTTTGCAATATATTGCAATAACTGCAGTACAAATGATGGCAACAGTATACCTTCCTGCTATGAGCTGACTTCAGCTCTGCTGGCAAAGTGACAGCAAGTTTTGAGAGACAAGAGGAAAGCAAAACACAGCGAAAGAGATCATAATTTGAAAATGGAAGTAGCAGCATCCACTTCTTCGGCTGCTGCGAGAAATGACCTTAGCTTCCTCTCTGGTTTGAATGTGAAGGCAAATATTTTAATACAATAAATTAATGACAAGAGCATGTGAGATGCTGAGAACTTCACAACTCTCTGAAGTACCTTGTAGCCTGGCAGAAAAAGATTGAAAGGTGTTTGGTACATGGAGAATGAATGATTTTGCAAGTACCTATTTACTGTAGGAGGCTTACTGTATATTTCAAGCCTACCAAAGAGTATGCTATGCCTCCCACTTGCCAATCAAGTAATTCAGCAAAACCAGCTTTATTTCCTAACTACACTACGATGTTTGATCCTTGGACAGAGATGAAAATCCTTTTTACATTTCTTTAAGATTTACAGGGATATACATTCATGAGGATGTCTTGAGACTGTCTGAACAAATATATCTTTAGTAAACATTTAAGGCATTATGATATCTGAATTGTCCACTGGTAATTCAGGAAAATTAACTGCAACAAAAGCGCAAAGATTGCCACAGCTGTATTTCAGTGTCTTCTTAGAAAATATACATTACCTTTGGAAAGCATAAGGTGAGTATGCAAATACACATGTACACACGAATATCTGATATCTCTCCTTGCTCTTTTCCTGATTGTTCAATAACTAGGACCTGTGTTTAACTAGGTAACTGGATCATTGGCACCAAAAGCAATTAAAAACCTCTCTAATGTTGTCAGTCAAAACTAATGATGAAATTCCGGAGCCCTGTGTATCCTTCTGTCTTCAGTGTGCCTTGGAATTTGAAAATCCAGCTGGAAACTGACAAAACACTTGATAAATGATGCTACAGGAAGTTATCTCAGCAACTTCGTTAGTCTTTCTTATCTTCACTGGATATATCATCCAGCTCTCTCCATCACCTACCAAGCAAATATACTGACTTAGCACTAGTGTATGTTATATGTGGAACAGGGCAAAAAGCAATTGAGGCCCCTGTGTTTATTTACACGACATAATCTGTAATTGGCAGATCCTTTTCTGAAAGGTGCTTTATACGGACTAGTAACAGTAGAATAACTTTGTCTCCCTGCTCCTGAATAACAGAGAAGAAGAAAGCTTTCTTTAAGATTCTTAAAGGGCTCACATTACCTCACTGCAGGGACAATGTATCACTTCCTGTATCACGAAGTCACTGTGAGCTTGTGACCAGTCCCTCCAAGAGATTCCTGTTTATAGGTGGGAAACTGAAATGCTGGTGTATCTACAGTAGGGAATAAAGGACAGTGCAGAGATTCCTGGGCTAATTACATCCATGAGATTCAGTGCAACACCTCAAAGAGAAACTGGAATGGAATAGCTATTATCATCGTGCCTTATCTGATCCAATAAACCTACCTCCCAGAAAGACCTAATTGGCTTGGGCACAGGGATATTCTGGGAGTCCACAAATTCTGGCAGAAAGCTTCACTGCAACATATAGATGTATTTACAAGGGAGAAAACAGTGACCAAGTAGGATGGTCTGTGACAAATGAGGAGGTAAGCTCAGTCCCCCTTGAAGAGCCCCAGCAGTCGAACAAGGAATGTGACAGAATGTGACCTTGACAACAAAAAGCATCAGTTTGTTATGGCAACAGGGCAGTTATGAAGTCAGTCAAGAGCAGAATTTCTGTGGCCGTTATATCCTGGCCTTTGAACTGAGACAGCTGCTTTCATGCTTTCTGTATAGAAATCCTGTGAAGAGGAGACTATTGCCTTACGTTTAGCCTGCTACCTGCCCTGTCTTTGGACAGCAGTTACCCATGGTAGCCAGCTTGCTTTACTTTCTTCCTCTTCTGCTCCTCTTCCTCAAACTCAATAACAAACACATTAATTATCTTACTTGCCTAAATCTTTTCTCAGATATGAAATCTATGCCTTATATCAATTTTATAAAATGCAGCGAGTACTATGAGCCTGGAAACAAGAGGTTGAACTCATGGTTCACATCCTGAAATGCCTACCTAGCTCCAGTCAGTTAAAAAGTTAAGCATTGACTTCTAGCTAACGACTAGACGTACCCTGCAAGTCGTGATCTGACTATGCTGGAGGCAGTAAGAAACTCCTCAGTCTAAGGCAGATTTTCAGTCAAGTTTTATTTCCATGAAAGAAAAGCCATCCTTCTGTGAGGTGCAGAAGGATATTGATTATGTTACATTTTAAAGAAGTGTGATACGCTATTCTTACTTCTTAGGGGACCTTAGTCAGTTCCATGGGTTACTGAAAAGGGAATTGCTGACGAATTCTCATATTAAAAAGCCAACAAGTGAGATTTTCAGAAGATCTATTCACAAACCTATATCCAGTGATTTTTTTTTTAAGTTCATATCTAGGCAAGGAACATGATGGAACATAAATGAGAGTTCAGCCCCTAGCCACTTCCATATAGGCTCCAGTATGCCCTATGTGTATGTGCCTACATTATTCCCAGAGTCACTCCGTTTCTTAGATACGGGTTGCCTGCTTCATTGTCAGCACATAGGTAACCCCATTCTCATCCAGAACATCCCTGGAGACACTTTAACATCAGTGGAGGTCTCTCATGTTAAGAGAAGAACTCTGTGTGCTGAACACCAGGACATACAAGGAGATTTGGAAGAACTCAGCGGTCTAGAGGGATCAGAGTATTAATTCCAAACAACTACGGAAGAGCTTGAGGTAAATCAGAAAGATATTCAACTTACTTTATAGGAACCCCAGAGTACTGATAACAAGAAGCAGCAGCATGAAAAGATGGTAAAGTGGAAGGTACAATTCTTCCACATGTAAAACTACAAGGCATCATGGAACATGTAGATCAGCCAGGAAACTGAGTGTGCAAATGAAAGTGAGGATCATGAGACATTTGTGTTACTTCTCAGAGGTAAAGAACCTCAGTGGCTCCAATTTTCATGAGTTAACATCAAATTCATAAGATGTGAAATCCTTCCGTTTTGTCAAAAGAGCCATAGTATTTGGTTTAGACCAACCAGGCCCTAATTAAATATTTTTAGAATTTTCTTTACATTTCCAAATCAGAAAATTTATCTACGGTAGATATTTCAAATTTTGTAAGACAACATTCAATGGAAGATTTCTTTTCCAACTCTAGGAACAAACTTTTTAAAGAGAAATAATGGATATTAGAGAACTAGTGAGTCGTTATACAAATGTATGAATAATCACTTGAGCAAATATTCAGGTTTTAGATGAACATATTCTATTTTCACCTATCAGCTTAAATATGGATTTATTTTCTCCCTTTCTCCAATTTATAGCAAGGAGCCATCAGAGGCAAGACAACACCACCTTTCATCTCAGACAGTGAAATAGAGAGCATGGATGCTAAGTGTCATGTGGCGCATTCGGACATGAAGGGAGGAACCAGTGCTTTGCAGTCAGAAGCATCCACCAGTGCAGAGCAGCTGGGACAGCTCTGTGGCAAGGAAGTCACAGCAGCTGATATTAAGCTTGAGAGGATGAGGTGGGATTTTATGCTGGCTAAACTGAAATATGAACATGATGATAATGAAAAGCAAAGGCTTCATGAAGAGAGAATGGAGCAGCTTCACCAACAGGCAGTAAAAAGT